AACGCTACACACTAATAAATTAATAAGATCAATAAATTTATTTGATTGAATGTCAACTCTAATGAATTTGTATAACTTGAATAATTTCTACTTGCTTGGAGGTGAAAATCAGACTATAATTAAGTGAGGGGGTATTGGTTAAGCAAGACATCAATACATATAAGAAATTATTTGTAATATACAAATATGAATGATTCCAATTAGTGTTTAATTGTATAGAAATGTATATAAAACTAAATTATATGTCAAACTTTATCAAATTATAATATAAGCTCTTGAGATTGTCATAAATCTATTTTGCATATCAAAAAAAAAAACTAATGTATCTATACTGGTGGGTAATAATACATAAATATCAAATAGTAGACCAACATATTGCTATGAACCAAACATATCATGAATAATTTGCTCGATCACGATATCAATAGCTTTCCTTCCAACTTCCTGAATACATTACAAATCCATCATACACGTTAATAAAAAATCATACTGTTATCAAACATAACAATTATTATAAGTTATAACTTACCTGTAATGTAGCAACTATATCTTCTGGAACACTTCTTTGAATACAACGTTCATTGTCTGCTTATGAGGTTTACCATCTTTGTCAATAATAAGAACCTTTAACCCATCCTTTGATTTTACTCTAGATAGAGCAACATATAACTGCCCATGAGAGAAAACAGGTTTTGGCAGATATAGACCGACGCTTGAAAGTGTCTGATCCTGACTTTTATTTATGGTCATAGCAAAGGCAACAGACAAAGGAAATTGTCTTCTTCGCATTCTGAATGGAAATTTTCCTTCAGGAAGTGCGACATTCAACCTTGGAATATAAACTTTCTGACCATGAGTGTCACCAGTCAAAACAATAGCTTCGATGATATGATCATCTAAAATAGTTAAACGCAACATAATATAGTTTAAAATTCCTGCTTTTATTATACTTCAAATAACAAACCACAGAAAATCTGTAAACGGAAAAAGACAAATCCTACGGGCTAAGAAAAAAATAACCGAAACTTAAACAATGAGATATTGTAGTAAATCCTAAGAAACAAAGCAAGCAGAAGAATGCATAGCCTTAAAGAAACGAAGACTTCAGTCATCAACTTTCTCTTTCTTAACAGGCTTCAGAGAAATCTTTTGTTCACTCGCCAAAGCCTTCATGTCCCCATTAGCAGCTTTCTTAGAAGTAGACTGCTCTCCATTATGATCATCAAAGTCAATCATCTCATCGCTTTTCCTTTTTGACTGTGGTGAATTATCATCGTCGCCGCTGTCAAGTAACATCTTAGGAACCTAAAATGACAAATTTAAACAAATACATTTATGTACAGGCATATAATATTAATGAGAGGCATCTAATTCCTAAATAGCAAACCTGTTCATCGGGAGTTATAAACCCCATTTCATCAGACTTGACATCATGGGTAGTCTATAAATAAAACAATAAGTTAACAATGATCAAAAGGCAATGAAATATGAATAAATATTAATAGGAATAAATAGTTTAGGGATCAAACCAAAAATCCGGATATTTCTGAGAATTCTTTGACCATATCACTTTGGGTCACAATCTTTGTAACTTTGTAAACATCACTGTTGAAAACGATGTTTGAACTCTCAATAGATAGCTTGAACAGATAAGTTTTCCCACAAATGTTACTAATTGGAAGAGGGAGTACATCTGGATCTTGGATCTGCAAGCAGTTTAGCAAACATATAAATTTTCTAATATATATAGTAAGATTCACTATAATAGAGTTGATAGTAATCTGCATAACTACCTCTTCCACAGATTCAGTCAATTGTGCAGCTGTTTGATTTACAACTTCCATGGTAAGCTTATCAAAGATTAAGAACTTTGTTTCGCCAGTGTTGTCCATAACACGGAAAGTCAGCATAAACCTATGTTAGCATAGAAAAATATATGAATATGAATATATATAGAAATTACAAATATTCTTTTTTCACAACAAATTGCATCCAAGACTTACACTGGTACGACACTTTCAACATCATCCTTACATTTGCCACATTTCCATAACTGTTTAGGAAATGGCCTACCAGGATATTGCTCTTTCAACAAATTCATATCAAGAGGAAGCACCTTTTTAGAGCACACTTTGCATGACATATAGTACCATCCAAACTCAGTGTCAATAGACATGATGGTAGCCATAGTCACACATTTTTCAACCTAATAATTGAAGCATTACTTTCTTTTAAAAACCCAATCGCCATTTATTGTTTAAGAAATATGTATACCACGCAAAATAAATACCTCAGATGCACCAAGTATTTCACTTATTGTCCGGCGAGGGGTATGTAAGAAGAAATCATCTCTTACAGAAACAGAATTGACAATGGTCAATTGGTTAGGGTGTGTGTATGACAAAGTCACATCATCTTTTGGTAAGCTGTAAAGAAAAAAAAATATTGGATTTTAGTGACATGAAAGTAAACTAAATGGAAAATTGATAAAAGTTATAGATATGAATATACCGGTTTCTAAAAGAATTTATTTCAGGGAGATCAGGATCTGTCATCACAATGGAAGAACTGTAACAATTGCCAATACTCCATACACCTAAATAATGAAATGTCTTGAAAGTTATATATATTTTAAAAAAACGATATTTTGTTTGTTAACAAAAAACATTTGTTTCGTACCTTGATACAATCTTAACTTTCCAAATCTTAACACGAAACAAATGGTAGCATTAGTTGCATGTGTAGCAACACTCTCCAAACTTTCGGCATAATTCCCCCAGAGAACACAATTCAGGCGCACATCACTAAAAGACAAAAAATATATTAGACGTCTTATTAACAATATATAGGTCTCAAAGGGAATTAAAAAACCTGGTGTCACGAAGTGTCATTGTTAGACGTTTGGTCTGTTTTTTGTTAACATTGAGAATCTCAACCTCACCAATACTAACAATTTGTCCAACAATATCTGTAAAATAAAAACATAAACCAATAATTAGATGTAATATGCTTTGGTTCATATTAGTAATGTATGCGAGATATAAATATACCATTTACCTATTAGAAAATCAGGATTGAACTTGCCCTCGTGAATATCAGCGAAGTTCACTAACTTCAACCCAAAAATTGTGGCATCCAGATCTTCAGAAGGTCTGACAGACGTCGTGGCAGCAAACTAGATCTTGTAAACATGAGAAGTAGTCCTGAACTTACCACCATTGTGAGTGACTTGAAAATTAGTGATGATCTTAGTAGTTCCTTCCTCTAGAAGATTTTCAAATTTTTTAATGAACTGCTTCTTCATACTAACATGCATAATTTGATTCTGCATGGCAATATAATAATAAGCAAAACGTTAAAACATATATATATAATCAAAATGGAACAGTATGAATAACGAACAAACAAAGTACAAAACAATACCAGTTCATCGACAACGACCATCTCCATCGTCTCGATCCCATTCAAATACTGTTTCCACAACTTCAGTATCTTGACACGGATCCTCCATTGAGTTTTGAATGGCTTTAGGGCAGTGAGGGATGTGAAGGTCGACATCGCAAACTTTGCAAGTGAGAGTATATAAGCTAAATATTGCTTAGCTGGTGTGATGAATTCGATATCAACAGTGGTAACTATATATAGCGAAATGACGAAACAATCTTTAGAAGAGGGAAAGTATTGTAGGCGGTCAATTATGAATTTGAATTTGAAATGACGTTGAAATTTGATAGATTTAGGCAATTTTGATATATTTAAATTGCGATATTGTTCGTTTTCCATAAAGGGTCTATTTTGTTTAATTACTCCTACATATACGGAAATACGGAATATTTTGATTTAGGTAGGTACAGTGCATATAAAATATATCGAAATTATAAGGATTATTTAGACTATCCAAAAAATGATTTGTAAGTTGGTTATATAATTTCAGATTGATACGGTTACGATAATATAGGAAGGTATTATTATTATGAACTGATAAATTTGGAATATGCATACATTGATTCCATTTATGCTTAACCATATAATTGTGTCGAGAAATTCGGAGGAAAGTTTAAGGTGGAGTTATGATTTCTTCATTATTACAGTAATTAATTTTTTGAATTAAATGAACCGAGATTATGGGATCACGTATAACCGAGATTATGGGATCACGTATACTGACACATTAATATAAACAATATTGTAAATAAGATTTGAAATTTATGAAGCGCAAATATGGGCTCATGTATATCATCATCATTTGTATAAATACATACCTCATTTGTATAATAGTAATTATGTAGAATAATAAAATTTGTATTTCTCAAAATATTGATTTATGATAGGAATGTGAATATAAATTTTGCATAAAAATAAGAAAATAAAGATAGTAATAATTTAAATTTAAATTTTGTTAATCAATCGATTGCTTTGACAACTTAAATTAGTATATAGTTGTTTTGTGCAAGAAATAAGGTAGATGAGATGAAAATTATTTAAATTAGTATATAGTTGTTTTGTGCAAGAAATAAGGTAGATGAGATGAAAATTATGCATGTATAAATCAAAAATTTTAAAAGAAGTCAGTTGAGCTAAATAAGGAAAACGAATAAAAAATTAGTAAATAATAAATTAAATTCTAATTGGTAGAAGGATATAAATAAGGAAATAATCATAAGTGGAATATAATGAATTATTTAAAAGAAAAATGGTGAGAAAAATTGTAGGAGCGACACCTCAGTAAAATGGTCTTTAAATTCTTCTTGTTTAATGTATAGAGGATATTTTGTGAAGCTAATAATTATCATTTTATTAATTTTTTAACTATTATTAAATTATTCATTCGTGGTTGAACCGTAGTTGACCTGGTAACCCGCTGACCCGGAATGCATTCCGATGCACTATCCCAGTCGGGTTTAATATTTCGTCTACGCATACGTGAAATATACCCGAAAACCCTTAAGCACAAGTCAAAGCCACACCACGGCCACTTTCTTCCTGGCGAGATCCTCCAGATGACGACGGACCTTCCAGAGGATTTATTAGAGAATATACTCTGTCGTGTTCCGGCTACATCTCTGAAACGGTTTCGATCTGCTTGCAAACGATGGAACCGTTTATTCAACGACAAGAGATTCGCAACAAAGCACTTTGATAAAGCGGCTAAACAGTTTATGTTTCTCATCATGTTGAAAAAGAAACTTAGGTTTCGTTCCGTGAGCGTCAATCTCAATGATAACGATAAAACCTCAATAGAATTGATAAGAGAATCCAATGTTCATGAAACAAAGAAATCTCAAGCTCATCTTACAAGAATCCAGAGATAAGAAAAGATTCTTCCTAGAAGATGAACAAAAGGTGAATTACAGAGAGTTTGGGATGAAGAAGATAACAAACTTTCAACAATTTTCCATGAATGAACTAATTTTCCCTCTCTGCTTTGCTTTAACTCGTCGTTTCCTGGCTCTCGACTGTAAACTAATCTCCTCCGTCGATTCTATCTTGCCATTTACACCGTCCACGTGTCTTTATTCCTTATTTCATATTTACTATATCACTCAAAGGCGTAGTCGACACTCGTTCTACTTTAGGTCAATTCGAGATTTTTCGAGTCTCTCACTGCTACGGCTTATTGTTATGCACCAACAAAGACAACATAAGAATAGTGGTTTGGAACCCTTGTACTGGCCAAACCAAGTGGATCCAAACCAAAACCCATCACAGTGGAGAAGAAGCCACATTTACTCTTGGATCCTACCAAGAAGACAACAAATCTGGCAATATTAGCTACAAAATACTGAGATACGACAATGGTGATAACTACAACCCGGAGTTTGAAATCTATGATCTTAATTCTAACTCATGGAGGATTCTTTACGACAGTCCTGGTAGCCACTTAACTAGGGACGGTGTGTTTTTGAAGGGAAAGACTTATTGGATAGCTCTTGATGACATAGGGGATCGTCCAGAGGAAGCCTTGTTAGTCAGTTTTGACTATACAACTGAGAGATTTGGAACTATGCGTCTTCCCTATCTATATGGTTGTGAGAGTTTGTCTCTATCAGTTGTTAGAGAAGAGAAACTTTCGGTGCTATTACAACGCACAAATCCACTGTGGACAGAGATATGGGTAATAAATACGATTGGTGAGTGGAGCAAGGTCTTAACAGTTGATTACCCTCAATTTACGGGTGATGGTTTGTCCACCGTAAGTTTCTTAGTCGATGAGGAGAAGGAAAAAATCGTGTGCTGTGAGAAACGTTGTCTATTTGTAAGCATCGATATCGAACATATAGATATAGTATACACTACTGAGGAGGATGATAAAGTCACAGAAGTGGGTTTTGTAGAAGCTACACATGGTCCAATGATTCATAATTATGTTCCAAGTTTGGTTCAAATCCAGTGATGTCGACGCAAGAGGTGATTATGCTAAAATGCGACTTACGTTCTTTGTTTTGTGTGGTTTTTTCTTAATTTGACTTGGCCATTGTCCTTTGAACAATCGTTTTGAATATTTAATGAATCGTTTTTGCATTTTATCAAACAACTGAGTGATAAATATCGTCTGCCATTATATATGTAAAAAAATCAAATGCTCAAAATTAAAAAAGAAATTGAGAAAGGAACCATCATCTTCTCCTGGTTGCAGCTGAGCCTGAACCGCGCTGAATCGCTGCTGGTGCTGCTTGCCCTTGAGACCCTGCGGGTTGTTCTTCCGCCATGTTAGTAGCTTGTGTCACAGCATTCATCACTATGAGTCCAAGTGGTATCAAGTACATCCACTGCCAAACCAAAAAGTCTCATTCCAAGTCAGTATAAAAGAACATTAAATCAAAATGTGTTTTAAAAACTCTATAGTACTCACATATTTTGCCCAAAATGATCTCTCTACGGGCACTTCTGCTTCACTTTCCACATTCTCGCTGCTGCCAAGAATCTCCTCTGTAAATATCGGTGTTCTGCACCACATTAAGACAGATTACCACTCAGGTTTATGTATGTCAACATCACATGATGAAATTTATACAAATGGATGTACAGAAACAGTAAAAAAAAACAGATAAATGCAAAAACCACAATCAATGTTTCTACCTTGGTGCCTGCTCACTACTCTTCAAGATAGTGTGGGAGTTGAATGACCATTTTCCTGGCTAAATTTAAACGCAAAAACATCAACCAGACCGCCCTAACTAATATAAGCTTCAGGGTTCAGTACATGTAACAGAACATAAGTGATATTAAGAAACAATCTCTACATTAATATTCTACTTATGATCCCAAGTCCTAATCTAAATAAAATACGGTCAGCTTTCTGCAGCAAAATAACGATTGGATAGAGGTTTCGCTTACAAGTTTCAACTGTCGAGGATACGGGCATGATCCAGGAGAGCCATAACTGACTGCCAAAATATTGGCACCATCCTGCAGTTGAATATGACAGTTTAATAAGTAAATAGCGAGGAGCTAACACAGATCTTCGTCACTTGAGGCTGGGACCTAAATTTCGATCTCGAAATACAGAAAAATTGATACCAAATGAATATACTACCATGTGTATTACGATATGCTCATCCAGACCATTCCGTGGAAGACATCTCTGTAACCAAAGATAAAACCAGATACATTGAGCAGAGGGAAAGAAAAAAGAAACCAACAAAAGCAAATAACAAAATTTGCAATGAAAACATTCCCAGGTTTTCACCATTCCGAGATAATGGGTTTGGACTTATGATCCAAAAACCAACTAAATCTGAACGGAATGGCAGAAGCAAGCTTTTCTTATCTCGGGAAGCAGAATGGAATGGACATTTTATAAAGAAAGCTGCATCAAGACTAACCTACTAGTAGTTCAGAAGCTGAGTTCAATCAAACAAAATCGTTAATCCAGAGCAGGAAACAAGTGTCCATAGTAAGGCATAAACTAGATACGAAAACACTCAATATTCATTCATACATCTTCCTAGTGAATGATAACTAGAAGAAAGAGTTCTCTCAAAGCTCTTTTGCAGGTTTTTACAATCAAAGGTAAAAAAGTCGAAGTGGGCTTACCGCTCGCACTGATGCAGTCACAAACTCTCTCCCAGGTGGACTGACTACGCTAGATGGAAGTCTGATTCTATAAAAGTCATCTCCTTTCAACAGATTCTACAAATGGGTTTCACAACAAAGGCATCATTACACTATGGAGAAACAAAACTCTTAAAACCCATCAGGAGATTACTTACTTTGAACGCATCTTTCTCTTCATCAGAGAAGTCGTTCCTCGAGAACCGCAGTTTCGTTAATGTCTGCATAGAACAAGATTGTGACTTAAGCTTTGCAAAAATACACATTAGGTTTAGCAAATCAGATTGGATTAAGAGATGATAAAGCAGTAACACCTTCATCAACATTTTGAGTTCTTTGCAATTTCACTTACCAAAATCTAAATATTTCATTGTTCCAATCTAACAAGCCATTCACTATGTAATCAAGTAATCAACACTATCTCGATCGATTTGATAGAAAATCAGAAACCCTCAATGATCGGGAAAGAGAGAAGAACCTGACCACCATGGCTCCAAGTTTTGAGACGAGCGGAGAAAGTGCCGGCGGAGGAGAAACCAGAGTCTCCGAAGGCATGTTCGAGAGTGAATTGGATCTTCGAGTCCAAATCAGGATCCGAGTATCGTTTCCGGATACTCGGAGTCTGTTTCGGAGGTGAAAACGACGCCGGTGAATCGGTGAAAACTTGTTCCGGCGAACGAGGATTGGCTCCTTCGAGACCAAACTCCTCGTCGTCGATGAGGAGCTCGTCTGATTGGAAAGCGAAGGAGGAGGTGGAGAAAAGTAAAGATGTTAGGAAGAGGAGAAGCGTGAGCTTCGGCATGGTCACCGTCGTCTTGTTCCGGCGCCGGAGATTTCTCTTTCGTGGATGGATCAAGGAAGGAAACAATAGGAGAGAGAGAGGTTTGGATCCAACGAAACGAAGTTTGTTTGGTGAAATTGCAATTGAGCCCTTATTATTCAATAGATATTACGCGTATGGATTCTTAATATTACAATTGTATTTTTCGTGTATGATTTATTTTCAATTTACGATTAGGCCCCTAGGACGTATAATTAACAGCAAAATCATTACGAAATTATTTTAAATCACATATTACTAGGTGTTTAGTCCGCGACTTGCGCGGACCGAAAAGTTTCATTGAAACCTAAAATAAAATTTTATGTCATAATTCAAAAATAATTAGATTAAGAATTTGATACATACAAAATTAAAATAAAGCTAACCTATGAAAGTAATCATTGTCTAACATTAAAAACTTTAAAATCAATACTAATAAGTGTATGAAATCAATAAATACAAATTAAAATAAGATTAATATAAATTATTCATTTTTTTCTCTTTTTCTCTTTTAATTTTTTTTCTCTATCATTTTTTTCATTCTTTCTTTTTAGTTTTTTTTGTTTTTTTTTCTTCTTTATTTTCTATGTCTTTTTTTTACTCTTTATTCTGCTGGTTTTTCATTTTTCACGTCTTCTTCTTCTTCTCCACATTTTTTCTTTTTTCCTCTCATACATCTTTTGATTTTCTTCTCTTCCAAGTTTTATTCCCTTTTTTCTTCTTCTTCAATGTTTTATTATTCTATTTCTTCTTTTTTTTTTCCTTTTTCATTATCATCGTCTTCTTCGTTATCACCGACTTCTTATTCTTCTGGTGTTTTTTGGTTTTTACCTCATCTTCATATTCTTCTACTTTCTCCAATTCCTCATCTTTTAAGGTTTTCATCCAATTTTTTCTCTTCCCTATCTTCTTCTTCTACTTTGTCTTCTAATTTATTTTTTTTCTCCTTCAACAGATTCTTATTCCTCTTCTTCCAATTATTCTTCCTCTCTCCAAATACTTCATCATATTTTTTAAAGATCTTTGTCTTATTTATCTTTTTACTCCTCTCATGGTTTATATTTTCTTTTTTTTAGTTTTTTCCTTATATTTTTGAGTTCTTTTTTATCGTTATTTGTTTTCAAATTGTTCTTCTTTATTGTCTTCATTTTTTTTACTTCTTATTCATCTGATTTGTCTTCGATTTTTCATCATATTT